GAGAGAGAGAGAGAGAGAGAGAGAGAGAGAGAGAGAGAGAGAGAGAGGCAGGCAGGCAGATTAAATAATGACTCACCAGGTAAAGACACTCGATTACCACCAAGCCTTATGATCTAAGTTTAATCACCAGGTTCTCACATGATGGAGAGAACTAACTACTCCAAGTTGTCTTCTGACCTCCATATGTGTGTCGTGGTACATACACACACACACACATACAATAAATAAATATAACATTTTTTTAACTTAAAAAGGCAAAACTAAACAAAAAAAAATGTTTTCAAATGTCCATTTCCCAAAAGAGTCTCAGGCACAGATTATATCTACATCTTGTAATGCTACCCAGCCATCAGCTATCAAGTACCTTCCAGTTATCCGTACTTATTGTTTGTTTTTTCATGTTTTTTTTTTCTTGCAGGCTAGGAGACCATCTCATTTCTCCCCAGAATGCCCAACAAGCTAGAAACCGCTGCCTGCGGGCCATACCCGTTGCTCAGCCAGATGACTACAAAGAGGGCAAGCCTGGTGTTGCTGGGCGTGGCACGTCCTCTTCATGTAAGAATGCTGTGGGTGCCAAGCCAGTCCTGAGCGCCCGGACTCAGGAATCCAAGTGACTCAACAGTGGGCTGCAGGTGCATGCCTGCTCCTGGGAAGCCCGCTGGCCTCGGCCACAGTCCTGGATCCCCGAAGTCCGCAGGCCTCCAGTCACACTGCCAGATCTGGTGTCCGGTCGTCCTCCAGACCTCACGGAAACAGTGTCTTCTGCTCACACTTAGCAGCTCCCAGAAGGAAACGCCTGCCCCAAGTGCTTTATGTTGTGTGTGCCAGGGGTCAGCATTAGGACTCTCACTGATCTTGGAGCCCACTGATTCTGCTGGACTGTCTGGCCAGCAAGCCTCAGAGAACATTCCGTTCCCCATCTCCCTGGTACTGGACTTGCAGGTGGATACTGCCATGCCCTGGTTTTTATGTGGGTGCTGGAGACTGAACTCAGTCCCCATGTGCTTTACCAAGTGAACTCTCTCCACAGCCCCTGAGGCTAGGAACTTTAGTTCACGGTTTAGAAAACGAGAAATCTAAGATCCAGTAGTCCCATTACTTCACCCACTAATGAAAGCCTCTTCGGTTGTGTCATAGCATGGTAAATGGCAACACATACATGCAAGTGGTCCAGAGCCTATGGCAAGACAAGAAACCAGCAGCCAGGGAGGGCCAGGCTTGCTCTTTGATTTTATGGCAATTCCTATTTTAGGGAACTGATGAGATTCCCACTATAACTACTTCAACACCTTCCCCTAGGAGGTGACACCTCATTGACCTAATCACCTTGTCCTAGACCCCACCTCTACAGGTCTCGACACCTCTACACTGCCGAATGACCCTCGAGGGACATTCCCAACCTTATCTAAACCAGCCCAATACAGACCTGTGACCAAGTTTCAGTATCTCAGAGTCTCATGCTGAGAGTTCAGCCATATGTTAGAAGGCTCTGTGGCATCAGAATGTGCAGCGGGGCACACAAACAGCCCTGAGGTCAAAATGTGCTTTGAAGCATCCAGTCAGTGGAGTTAAACAAAAACCGGAGGGGCATAAAAGTATTTTTTAACTACCACAGGAGAAAAAGAGCATTTTGAAACAGAGATATACAGAGTATTTCTTTTTTAATTTTCAAAAGGAAATTGAAAGGATTGTGAGCAAGTCAGATAAGCCTCTAATCTCCATTCAAATAGGAAAAGCCACAAAGTAGCAAATCAGATCTCAGGAAGAGAAACATCAGCTCAGGGGTGGTTCAAGTCAAAGGCTCACATGCCCAGATGCTGAAGGACCAAATAGTCATTGAATCCAAGGAAGGGCCCTGTGATTTGGGGGAGAGGGATACTCAAGGGTCCTTTTAGTTATGGGGAGCTTCAGAGTTTTTGCCAAGTCATTGGTCATTGGTGATTTGGCCTGTGTTTGCAGTCGTAAGTCCCACTAAGTATACCTTCACTATGAGGTATTAGCTTGGCCATCCAGTGATGTCTGCTGGTTCTGCTGATCCGAAGGACGAGGGTCTCTTTCGATGTACTTTGGTACGTGCCTGGCAGGTGTTTTACCCCTGAGCCACACCCCCAGTACCTGGTCCTAGCTTTTGGATAGATGCCAAACTTCAGCCTGCTCCAAGGGCTGGAACAGTATTCCAAGTGTCAGCTTCTTACCTTGTTCCTACTCACTTAGCCAGCCTGCGTCCCTGACTTCCGTGTAGGCATTGTCTCCATTGTCATTTGCTAGCCTGGCCTCTGGGCTGCTTCGTTGGGGCATCTGCTCTGTTTCTGGTGTAGACTCCACCTTTCCTCTACCACCCTTCAGCCTGGCCCATCCGCAGTCACCCAGCCCCTGAGTGCACTAATGCCAATCCATCTGTTGGCTTGCTGCCCCATATCTTGCAGCTCTCATCAACCTGGGCCTGAGGGACTGACGGATGGCTCAAGCTCTCCTGGCCCCATCTTGTGTATTGCTTCGTCTCTTCCCACTAGACATTAATTGTCCTGAGGAAAGTTCTTCCTCAGCTACCAAGACATAACTTGAGTGTCAGCCACACACTGGTTAGGCCCAGTGTGGTGGCACACCCTTGTCATCCCAATACTCAGAGGCAGAGGTAAGATGGTTGCCACAAGTCCAAGACCAGACTAGCCTACATAACAAATGAGTATCAGGTCCACCTATGGCTACATCCTGGGAATCTTACCTTTAAAAAAAAAAAAAATCACACAGGTGAGCAGATGTGGAGTTCAGGTGCCCGGCACTGTCTGAAATGAACTTGCCACAGAGGAGGTACACCTGTTCATCTCTTCCAGTAACTGCCAGTGTACGCCCACAGAGCCCTTTCCTCCAAGATCCTGGTTCTGTCTATGGGCCCATTTTACTTAGGTGAGCTCCCAGAGTCCACGGTGTAGCATGGGGGAAGTGACAAGAGAGGTAGGCTGCCTTAGTTGCCACAATTAAATACTTTGACGAAAGCAACTTAAGGGAAAAGGATTTGTTTGGCTCACAATCTCTGATTACAAACCATCAATTGTAGGAGAGTTGAGGAAGCAGGAACTGGAAGCAGCCAGTCACATTCCGCCCATATCTCTGCAAGAGCAGAGCTCAATCAGTATGCATACATGCTAATGTTGTTTTCTTGTTTTCTGCACTCTAATACAATCCAGGATGCCCGGCCCAGGGAATGGTTCCACCCAGAGTTGGAGAGTCTTCTGTTAATCAGGGATTCCCCATGGGCATGCCCACAGGCAAACTGATCTAGACACACCCATATTGGGGACTCCCTTCCCATGTGATTGTAGACTAAATCCAATTGGTAATTAAAACTAACCATCAGAGCCAGACTGTGGTGATGCACACCTTTGATCTCAGCACTCTGGAGGCAGAAGCGGGCACATCTCTTAAGTTCAAGGTCAGCCTGGTCTACGTAGTGAGTTCCAGGCCATCAAGACCCTATCTCAGTCCCCGCCCCCCCCAAAAAAAATAAAATAAAAAATAAACAAACAAAAAACAAACTGGACTGGCTTAGACGACTAGATCCCCAGCACTCACAGGATGGCTCACAACCCCCTATAAAGTCCATTTCCGGGGAATCAGATGCCTTCTTCTGACCCATGAAGGCTCCTGAGTGCACATGGTACACAGGCATACACACACACAAGCACACATATATACCTATAAAAACTAAATGGAAAAATAAAAAATAACGAACAACAAAGATGGACTGTCACAGGAAGGATGGACTAAGAGCCTCAGCAGGGACTCACCAATGTCCTCGCTCCTGCTCTCATTATGCTGTCCCTGTGCCCTGACCCCAGGAAGCCCGGGTCCTGGAGGTCTTTCCCTGCCCTCGTGGTAGCCTTGGAAAACTGTGACTGGAGGTGTTCTCCTGCAGAGCCAACACCTAAGCGTGTATCCACTCAGATTAACTCAGTATGTCAAGCCTCTGTCTCCTTGGACTTAGTTCCAGCACACTGATTAGAGAGCACAGACAAGACCAACCATGGTCTCTCGGAGAAGAGTCAGAAGCAGAAAATTCTAGGCTCAGATAGATTAAAGACTAAATTACCTTTTAGGTGCCATACCAGAAATAGATTTCTTGTTTGAGTCAATAAAAAGCCTCTTGCTCTGAATTTGAGGGGTAATACAGAGCAGGTTCCTTTATATTTAACATAGAATGAAGAAGAGAAAATTTAAAAATTAAAAAGATTGACAAGGTGGTGGTGCACACCTTTAGTCCTGTTACTGGGAGGCAGAGGCAGGGAGATCTGTGTAGGCCAGTCTAGTCTACAAAACAAGTTCTAGGACAGCCAGGGCTACACAGATAAACCTTATCTTGGAAAGAAAGAAAAGGAAAAAGAAAAGAGAGAGAGAGAACAGACAGAAAGGACAGACAGGAAAGAAGAAAGACAGGAAGGAAGGAAGGAAGGAAGGAAGGAAGGAAGGAAGGAAGGAAGGAAGGAAGGAAGGAAGGAAGGAAGGAAGGAAGACAGACAGACAGACAGACAGATAGATAGATAGATAGATAGATAGATAGATAGATGGATGACTAGTTCTATCTCCGGGTGGGGACAGAGGTGTTTTCTATGTGGAGACTGGAAAGAATCTGGGTTAGCTGAAAGAGGCTGGACTAGAAAGAAGCAAGCCCACACCCTGTAAGTGCCGCCCTGACAGTAACCAGGCCAGAGAATGGATATGTGACTTTGGAACAGAGACAACATGAGCCGATCCAGGGCCCCACAGAAGCTCGGCCTAATGTTGAGATGTCCTGGCAGCCTGACAATGGCCATGACCACTTTCTAGCCCTGTGAGCATACTGAGGCCTCAGCCTGATGGCGGCTCCTCAAGCACTTGAGTACTATCCTCCAGTTCTATAAATATAAAGCTGCCAGATTTAGCAATTCCAAGTATAGGAGACCCAGTTTTATTTGTTGTTAGTAAACGAATATGCCCACCCCCCAGCTTTGTGTAGAGCCCTGGGAAACAGTCCCATGACTACCAGCTTCCCCAGAGGCAGAGAGGAGACTGAAGGCAGATAGGAAGGGGGCAGCAATTCTTGTACTGTGCTCCCTGTCTGCGAGTTCGCAAGCTGCAGGGTTAGTAAGCTCAGGTCCATGATGGGCAAGCAGGGCCTGGGAGCCAGCTTGCACAGGCCTGGGGTTGTGCCTGCCTTGGCTGTGCAGCCCAGGAAAGATATCCTTGGAGGCTCCAGGGCAGGTCTTGTACTGGGCTCTGTCTTCTCCCCAGCAGTTATGGATCACAAGCCAAGAGAGTGGTTACCAGCTGGACATCAGGAGTCTCACTTGATTCCCACAGCAGCACTCAGTTGGCCAAGGGAGATGATCCAGGACCCAAGCAGTGGACGCACCACCAGGTAGGATGTCATAAGTCCTGGGATTCCTCTTAGGCATCAAGTCCCTGGGATCAGCCCACACAGGCTAGATATACAGTATCTTTTTTTTTTTAATGGTTTTAGAGATGATATTTCTTTGTGGTAGCTCTGACTATCCCAGCACCCACTCTGTAGACCAGGCTGGCCTCAACCTTACAAAGATCTGCCTGCCTGTGCCTCCCAAGTGCTGGGATTAAAGGTGAGAGTCACCGCTGGCTGGCTGATACACAGGGTCTTAGAATTGAGGGCTCCTGTGTGCCAACAGAAGTGAAAGAGGCTTCTCTGGGATCTGACACATGGTAAATGTGCCCAGTGGGAATACCTGGTGACCCATCAGTATATCAGCGCCCAGGGATAGTCAGGACCTCCTGCCTGAGAGCCATGATTGTCCAACCAGAAAAAGATGGTCATGCTGTTGGGTTTGGTTTTGGTTGGGTTTTGGTTTTTAGTTCAGTTTGGTTTGGTTTGGTTTGGTTTTGGGTTTGGTTTGTTTTGGTTTGTTTTGGTTTGGTGTTTGGTGTTTGGGTTTGGGTTTGGTTTGGTTTTGGTTTTAGTTTTGAGTTTGGTTTGGTTTGGTTTGGTTTGGTTTGGTTTGGTTTGGTTTTTGAGACAGGCTCTTACTATGTAGTCTTGGCTGGCTGACTATGACTCAAAGCCACAGAGATCCATCTGCTGCTGAGGACATAGTTTTAAGAATTGCTAAGAAGCCAAATCCGATGGTGAACACCTATTATTCAAGCCCGCAGGAAGCTGAGGCAGGAGGATCACGAGTATGAAGCTATCCTGGGCCACATAAAAAAACTTTGTCATGAAAAAGAAGAGGGAAGGGGAGGGAAGAAGAGAGGGAAAGAGAGAGGGAGGGAGGGAGGGAGAAAGGAAGGAAAGGAAAGCCTCTGGGAGTGTTCGGGGACAGCAGGTTCTCAGCTCTTACAGGTGAAATGGACAGACAAGAGAGAGATCAACAACAACTCAGGCATAAGGTCAGGGACCACAGACAGAAGCTGGACCCTAGAGTAAGACCAACGAAGTTGCTTCATTCCTCTTTCTCCAGATGGACACCAGCAGGTCCTCAGTAAATTGCCACTGTCTTTCACAACCTCAAAGCACCCCTCTGAAGGTCTTGCCAGCCACATCAGACCTGAGGAAACCTCAGAGAGGGGCCTCCTTGTCCCTTCGCTGCCCTTCAGACCTCCTGAGTACCCATATCCTGTAGGGAGAGCAACTTCCAGAGGGAGCATTCAGTCTCTAGCACTGAAGTAACACTAGTGTGTTGAGTGAGCGTGTGTTCTCAAACTCCACAGAAGGAATGAGGCAGAGGCCTCACGGGCCTTCCTAATGGACTCGGAGGTGCTGCCATCCACCCCTTCAGTAAGCAACCCCCCCTAGTGTCTGCAGAAACCTCCACCTCACAATGGTATCTAGAGTGACCAGAAGCCCCTCTCCTGTGGTGTCTGCAGTGCATGGCTCTGCCTCTCTGACCAGGCTGCCATGGCTTCCCTCCTGCTCTCAGAGGAGCTTGTCTGCCAGCTCAGGGGCTCCTTGGCTCTGGGTCTCCTACAGTGAGGGTAGGATCAACATTAAGGAACTCATGGGGACAGCCACAGTCTCCTCACTTGGCCTCCTTGTTCACACACCAGATGGGTCCTCTCCTGCTGTTCAGCTAGGCCAAATATGCCCTTCCTGTGCTGGGGCCTCTTTCTTCCTGTAAATGCTGAACTCACTTCCGAAGCTCACCACCCAAGACAGCCCTTTCCCCTAAAATAGCCATTCTCACGATGGCAGGCCTTCACAGAGCTCTCCTGGAAACACCCCTCACCACACCCAGCTGGCCCTCCGAGCTTCTTCTGGGCACAGATGCCCCTCAGAGTTGCTCTCATTGTGTGAGTCACAGAGTTCAGCTCTTTCTAGATGTGGGGGGTTCCATACGAGAAAGGACAGGGTGGAAAGAGGGAAGTGAACACTGTCCCACCTTCCCCCTCCCCGCTGACCATTCGGGGAGTAATATTTGCCTCCCAAACCCTTGTTTGCTGGCTTGGCCTCTCAGCTTAGCCCCCTTGTGGATCTCAGCAAAGCACCCTCCCCTCCACCTGACCACAAAGACAGGTCACACCCCTGACCACAGGCTTCAGGCAGCTACAGTCCTTCCCCCACAGTCAAGGGGCCAGCTATGCTGTCAGATGGCCACAGCTGACTGCCACTGTCCTCAGAGATAGCTCAGATGGGTGACTGCTGATGTGTCCCCATTCCTGCCTGTCAGAAGGCATTTTGGGTGGGTACATAGGAGCCTGGGGAAGCATGGCTGGCAGAGAGTATTGTCTCTGTCTTTGGGATGGGGACAGTAGTACCTCATCCCAGAAGAGTGGGGTGTCTAGGAAGCCACAGCCCTGGGGACACTGAATGACGATGCTGCTCCACTGGACCAAGTGCCACAGGAGCATCTGGACACAGTTGCCCCACAGGCTCCCTTCCAGTACCTTCCAAGACCAAGACTTGCTATCATATTGTTTTGGGGGAACCAGAAATAAAATTCAAAGCTCACTATCCTTTCCTCCATGGTCCCTTCCTCTTCCATAGAAAAACTTTCCTTTTTCTTTAAAAAAAAAATACATAAAAGCTTGTGTATGTGCATAACGTGGGGTGGGGACATGTACCGT